ATCTAAGCGCTATGTATTTAATGCCACTGATTTATGCATCTAAAAATGTCTACAAATGGCAAATGCTATGTATATTGTATCATACTATACAATGTGATTATTTTAAAAAATGAAATTGTTCCATTTAGGATAAAACAATACTCAAGTATTGGGGACAGAAGACATTCCCTGCAAAAGCAAGCAGCCTGTGCCCGAGCCTGTCGCCACACTAAAGTACGTGTAATTGCCATTTCTGTGGCTGTGAAATGGTTGCCTGTCAGCAATTTCAGACCGTTCAACCTATACATTCGTAAGTAAAACACAGTTGTACCTCTATCTGGTAGAATGACTATTGTTTAGTGACTGTCAGTGGGTCTCGGGGTCAAGAGAAACCACCTAAGAACGGGTCACTTTGGATCTAAGAGCCACTGCGGGTGGAGAATACATTCTTGCACCTTTACAAGTCTGCAACTTTGGGTGAGGGAGATAAATTACAGCGCGGTGAGACGCTGTTAACCTAACAGAGGCTGAGCTGATCCTACGGGGTATCGACCTTGAATCAGTCATTATCTAGGAAACGACCAATTAATTTTACTTTCTATTTTCTGCCATCTTCCTCCCGCAAAACACTTTTTTCCCCCCAAAAGCCATTCCCTATGTCAAAATTGGGATGTGTTCTCAGATTCCATTTAAGGAACGGGACCTGTGTGGATTTTCCTTCCCCACATCTCCAAGTCATAAATAGCAGAAGACCCTGGACCCCTTTCTATCAGCTCCAGTCTACAGAGCTGACGTCCCCTCTCTCAAGCTCCAACTGTAAATGGTTATTACGGGTCACAGTCAGGGTCCGATACATGGAAATAGCACTCGTATTAAATAAGAAAATTAGAGAATGTCCAAAATCTCTACAGCATCAGCGGAACCAAAGCATATTTAATACGTGTGCCCCTCCCGTTTCCCCTGGGCATTAGCACAAAACAATGCAGTCCGTTTCCCGGGAACAGACCATGCAGAGCCTGGGACCTCAGTTATGACTCATTATAGTAATTAGAAAAGACAGCTTCCCCAATCCTGCTCCCCAAGGTGACAGACTGCGGACATCCTTCTGTGCCAGATCATGTTTGGGAGAGAGATGGGGACCGGGAATAGGTTGAGGAAGGGCTGCTCTATTCACATCTGCCTCCAGAAGCAAGCCACCCTGAAAGCGAGGCCAGGCCATCGGGATGGTTTCAAGCTTATCTGACAAGAGGCACAAACCCGGCCACCCCCTTTTCCGCCCCCCCGTGAAAAGCTTTAAACAGGCTATTGTCAGAGCCCTGGGTACCTTTTCTCTCTTGGCTTTGTTCAGTGTTTTCCTCGGCGGCAGTTTCCATGGCTGGCTTCATACCATGCACCAAAAATGCCTTTGCCCGCTCCCCCAGCACACACTTCTCCCCCTCCTCTGCCTTTTCTCTTGGACTCCCCTCCGGCTCTTATTTACACCCGCGTGATTGAGAGCTTCTGTTCTTCACTACAGAAGATTACAGTCCCTTCCAAGATGCAAAAGTCTCGGCGGCGTCGATCTCCCTCTGCCTACTGGTCCAGAGAGACAGCTGCCAAGGAGCCGGCAGCCGTGCGTCACCGAGGATCCCGGTTATAAAGCAGGCTCCCCGCGCGCGCCGCTGCCCGCGTCCCGATGCGGCTCCCAGGGGCCCCGCGCCCCCACCGGGCTGCGCGCTCGCTCTCCTGCGCGCGCCGCGGCGCGCTCCTCTCTCCTCGCCAGCTGCGCGCGATGAATGCTAATTAATCCTCCCAGGAAAGAGCAGATCTGTGACATCAGAGCAGGGCCGCGCGGGAGAGAGGAGAGAGCCCCCTCCCACCACGTGACCCAGCCGGGCGGCCCCAGCGCCTGTTCCTCTCGGCAGCGCGCAGGTCTTCGCCTAAGCTGCTCGCTCTTTCCCACGGGACCCCCTTACCCGGCATCAGTTTGTTTTCCTTCATTTCCCCCCCAGCCCTGGCAGGATCTAGCCGAAGGACTTCCCGTGGTCTCCATTTGCTTTTTCTTTTTTCACTATGTCCAGAGAAAGACAAGTATATGATAACGTTTATATGTGGAATCTTAAAAAAAAAAAAGGCTACAACTGAACTTTTTTACAAAACAGAAGTAGACTCACAGACATAGAAAACAAATTTAGGGTTACCAAGGGGGAAAGAGGGGCTAGGGATAAAAAGGAGTTTGCAATGAACAGATACACACTACTATATATCACATAGAAAAACAACAAGGACCTACTGCATAGCACAGGGAACTATGTTCAATATCTTGCAATAACCTATAATGGAAGAGAATCTGAGAAAGAATAGATATTTATATAACTGAATCACCATGCTGTACACGAGAAACTAACACAACAATGTAAATCAACTACACTTTAATAACAACGCGTGTCTTTCGCACAACCTCTAGCGAGCCAGGTAGATTGACTTGAAAATATATATATTAAAAAGGGGAGAAAAAGTACTTAAGGGGGAAGAGAGCCCAAATATAGATTTAACAATAGCAGTGTAGCAATTCAGTAACAGAACCCATTTCTTGATCTACAGCTAAGGTATATAATGGCAAGGGAAACTTTAGCTCAAGCCCAATTCATAAAAAAGGACCCATCCTTATTTAAAAATAAGCATAATATGCTACAAGTATATCTGGCTGACATTTTGGTGGCTCCTTGGAATGAAAAATCAAAATCGAGTGGCTTTTTCTTGTTGGATGTGGTTACTTTAATATGGAGCTTTCTTACTTACAACTCCTCACTCAAAGTCAAAAGGCGGTTTTCGAGAGCATTCTGAATGTTCAGCAGAAAGGCTACTGTACCAATAATGATTTCGATTGTCAGTTTTACAAGTCTTCTTGCTTACCCAGATACTACTAGACCAATGTCAACCCATTTAAGCACAGAATCCTTTATCATGGTCATAAGCCATGTGTTTCCAAGCATCACTAATTTCTGCACCGTTTTTTTAAGCATTTGTTGGACCCACTTACCTGCATTGTCCCTATTTAAAAGATTTATCGAAACTCAGTGGATCCCTCAGGGTTCATCCACGTATGCCAAGTGAAAAACAGTCAGACTGAGAAAGACAAATAGCATACGATTTCACTTATACGTGGAATCTAAATAACAAACAAAACAAAATAAACAAAACCCAGACTGAATGATACAGAGAACAGATTGGTGGTTGCCAGAGGGAAGGGGAATTGAGGGGGCGAAATGGGTGAAGGAGATTAAGAAGTACAGCCTTCCAGTTACACGATACATTAGTCATGGGGACATCACGTACGGCATGGAAAATACAGGCAATAATATTGCATTCGCTTTGTAAGGTGACAGATGGTAACTAGCCTTATTGTGGTGACCATTTTGCCATGTCTACAAATGTTGGATCACTATGTGGTATACTTGAAACTAATAGAGTATTATATGTCAATTATACCGCAATTAAAAAAATTATAGACACTCAAGTCAAATGCAGGGATGGCCATTGATAAGCACAGGGTGAAGGGCTCCCTGACCGAGAACACAGTCAGCTAGTTGCTTGGGTTGAACACCCATCTTAGAAGCACATATAAAGACAAGTTGGAGGCCACCCCCTCCAGAAAAAAACAAACGTCTCCCAGTTCAGGGGGTTTTGGTGCTCAACATTTTTTAAAAAGTGTAAGATCCTGAATCAAAAGCCTCTAACAACCTGATCTTTTAATGCATTAGTTTTGGATAATTCAATACCCCTGGTCCTGTTAAACCAGAAAAGACTGTGAAAACCAGTTTAGCCTGTTTCAACATTTTCTTTTATTTTTACATCTCATTTTTCACTTTGCCCATCGGCCTAGGAGACCACGCCCACCATCAACCATCCCCTTCAATTATGGCCACAGTCGATCTGATCTCATTGTCTCATGGCAAGGAGACTGAGAAGAATGGCAGCCTAAAATTTCAGACTTGCAGAAAGAGATTCATTTGTGATGCAGCTGACCTGCACAGGAGAATCTGATGATGTGACCAAACAGGATGGTCTTAAAACATTTGTGCAAAGACGGCTTAGGTGCATTCAGATAGGAAGGTGGCAACTGTTTTGTGACAGGCGTGTCCTCCCTCAGCCGTGGTTCAAGAGAGAAATGACACCAAAACAAAAGTCAATTCAGCACAAAAGGGGACATTTGTGATTAGCTATGTTACTGGTTTTCATTGAGAAAGTATAATCATTCAGTCGAAAGCAAAATTATTCAATTATAGAACTGGCAGAATAGAATAATTTAGGGGAGCTATTACTTAAGAATGGTATTTTTATTGAAGTATTGTTAATTTACAATGTTGTGTTAGTTTCTGGTGTACAGCATAGTGATTCAGTTTTACATATATATATCTATTCTTTTTCATATTCTTTTCATTACAGGTTATTACAAGGTAATAAATATAGTTCCTTCTTAGTACTTCAATTTAAAAACCCTACCAAATTAAAAAAAACAAGAGTAGTACTTTTAAGTGTTAGTAGAAGTGAGAAGGCAGAATATGAAAGACATTCTAAATTCAAGGCCAACTCTCGTTTTGTATCACAGTCACAAAATCAAAATCATCGGACAAAATCGTCACAAATTCTCCAATTGACAGTCTGATCTCCTTTTCACCTTGAAAAACTACAGACAATTCATCGCTTTTGCCTCATTCGCAACTTGATCATTTTCTTTTCCTCGGACTGACCGTTAGTGTGACAATTCTACAAGTCACCATTGTATCACTTTAGAAGCAGCCTCAAAACCTCATGGGTGTGTATGAGAAATGACTTGAATCAGAAGAAAACATGATAGAGAAATGGTTCGCAGACAGACAGAAAACAGAATATAACATTTACAACATTTCTGAGATACATGTCCATTTTTGGCCAGAAAAAAACCTGAGTATGTAGAATGAAGAGGATGGGAAATGTCTCCCAGAGCTGAAAATTATTCTTTGAGTCTCACAACACTGCCCCCTGCCCACTGCAGACACCGATCTCAAATCCAGGTTGTCCCCTGTGCTTCAGACCAGCTATAAATGGAGGTTCCAATGACCCCCTCCTTGGGTATGATTAATTTGCTAGAGTGTCTCACAGAACTCATCGAAATATTTTACTGACTAGATTACTGGGTTTATTATAAAAAGAATATTAAAGGCCAGGAGAAACCTAAAATATGATTCTACAAATCAAACGCCCAAGGAAGAGATGCAGAGGGCAAGGTCTGGGGAAGGACACAGAGCTCCCAGCTCATTTCCATGTGTTCACCAGCCAGTAGCTCTCCAAACGCAGTCCTTGTGGGTTTTTTATGGAGGCTTCATTACGTAGGCATGACTGATTAAATGACTGGCCATTGGTTACTGAACTCAGTGTACAGCCCCTCTCCCCTCCCCGGACGTGAGGGGTGGAGGACAAAGGAGGAAAGGGAGTCACGGTGGGAGTGCGAGAACCTCTGATCACATGGCCGACTCCACTGACAACCAGCCCCCATCCTTAGGTTCCAAAAGTCCCTTCATTAACAAAAGACACTTTATCGCTGCCCACCACAGGAAATTTCCCATGGTTTCAGGAGCTCTGTGCCAGAAATAGGACAAAGGCCAAATACATTTTTCTTATTACAAACTATAACATCACAGTCTCCAAGTACCATAAATTTGCCTTATTTTCCTCATATGATCCTGTGATCTCAATAGCTGATGGAAGTGTTAACCACAACAAGACCAAGGTGAGAGACTCCTGTGAGGGCCACTATGGACATCCTCCTGGTCGGGTGACTGGATGGTTGGTTCGTTCACTGATTCAACCAAGCTTCATCACGCACCTGCAGCATACCAGAGGCTGGTCACTGTCCTGTTGCATGACTCTGATTGTTCAGTCTGTTGGGAACTCACCAAGTTTTCCAATGATCCACCTACACATCCTTATCAGAGTCACATAGCTATCAGTAAAGTTAGCCAAACGTGTATTTCTTTCAACTTTCAGAATTATATTTTAGGTTTCTCCTGGCCTCAGAATGACTCCTTAGTGGGGAGTCATTAATCACTAAGATGTTTCCATAGTCCCTCAAACCACAATTGATCCTTGAACAGCATGGGGGCTCGGGGCACTGAGGACCAGCAGTTGAAAATCTGAATGTACACCTTTACAGTTGACCCTCTGTAGACATGGTTCCAAATCTTCAAATCCGACCAACCTTGGATCATGTAATAGGTATTCAGAGGAAAGAAAAAAATCCATGCATAAGTGGACCCATGCAGTTCAAACCTGTGTTGTTCAAGTGTCAACTGTAATTCCTCTGAAACTGTCATACTCTATGGAACCTTTTTTTCCCAAGTCCACCTCCCACTCAGTCCCCAAGGACAAAGTCTCCTTGTGGCCATGCAGCTCCAGGCGACAGAGCATCGTTCGTTTCCTTTCCATTCACCTCATTTGCCATTCTTGGCATTGACTCTGCTTTCTGGACCATCTTCATCCTCCTG